GGCCCAAAGAGTCATGGGTCCGTCGAATATGGGCAACCCTGTATGTTTTAAAAGCTTTTTATTTGAGTTTCATAAAATGTTGAATACAATTTTGTTTAAATAACGCACATCTAATCTAACGCAGGAGAAGTTATGAAGAAGTGAAGTCTGCAAAATATAAAAAATAAAAATATAAATAAAAAATATAAAAAAGGGTAAACAATTGTATTATCCTGATATTTTTTGTGTGGTTACCTGGAATTCGAATTAGTACGAAACTCGGAGTTGAGGTTAGACCAGAGGTATTACAAGTCGGTTTTTGACGCCTTTGAAGTATTTTTTTTGCTTTTTTCCTTCCTGGTGTTTTTAAAATTATCTGAAAAATAAATAAGTTAAAAAATAAACCTTTCAGAATTTATGATTAAATAACCTCCACAATACACATACGCCAACACCAGCTTTGTGCAATATTATCCTGGAACAAGAAAAGAAACCAACATGAAAACTGTATTTTATACAGTTTAATGCTATTGTTTTTTATACCCTACACCTCATAGTGGTAAGGGTATTATGTCTTTGTGCATTTGTTTTTAACATAGAGAAGGAAGCGAGATATATTCATAGTTACTTTTGAGGATCTTCATAGAATCATTTTCTGAGTCGATTTATGCATAGCAGTCCTTCCGTCCGTCTCTTCATGTATTTTTATAAACAAAGTACGAGTCGCATCTATTGCCTGATCGATATGAAATTTTCCACAAATCAGTTGTTTAGTCCAAGGACGAACTCTATGGAAATTGAAGATAATTGGTCATAATTTAGATATAGCTCCCATATATATATCTTCGTTCGATTTGCCTTTTGTCGTGCACCAAATGTGTAATATAAGCCCAAATAGGATGCAATTTGGCATATACGACCAAATTGAGCCTAGAAACAAGCAGGTCAAAATTGATCGGAATCGGTTCAGATATAGCTATAGCTCCCACATATACCTTTGCTTAATTTTATCGCGATGGGTTCAGATTTGAATATACATAGCTCCCAGTTATATATTTACCTGATTTCAAGTTTTTTGAGCACCAAATGGTCAATATAAGCTTGAATTGAATGGATTTTGGAACATACGAACGAATTAAGTGTCGAAGAAAGTGTATTAAATCTGGTGAAAATTGATTAAGATATATATATAGGTCCCACATATATGTGTCATCCGATTTGGTATTTAAGTCCCACAAACCCGAAAAATGCACATCACAACAACGATATTTGGCGCCAGCCATCAGATACAGCGAAAAAAACCTCTACTAAATTTGACAGAGTTCTGTTCAGATTTGGATATAGCTCCCATATATATCTTCATCCGATTTCACGTTTATTGGATCTAAAAAGTGTAAAATCAGCTCAAATGGGGTGGATTTTGATGTATTTCGGTTTAGACATAAGCACCACAACAAATTTGGAAGACATGGATTCAGATGAGGATATTACTCACATATATTAGTTTCTTTCGACTTTAAATTATGACTAATTTAAATCCTCAATACGCATTCAAAAACAATCATTGTTGTTATGATTTTTCCCATAAATTCTAGACAAAAAACTTTTATTTTTATGGGTAGTTCTGCTAAATATATAGTAGGGTGTCATAAAGTCGTCCCGCCTGACTTTGAGCCTTTCTTTACTTTTTTTTGTAAATTATTTGATTATATTTTTTATGGCATTTAAATGTAATTAAAAATCCCATTATTCTCAAAACATGTGGCAACATTGTCAGGATTAATGCCCAGAGAAACTGAGAGCATCTTTTCATGCTCTCGTATTGTATTTTTGTTTTGTTTATGGCTTTCGCAAAATCAGCTGTTTAATATATGTGTCAACATTTCGTTCGTCGGAGTACAAAGCGAAAAAAAGCGCAAGACAATGTAAACAATAAAAGCTCTATGAAAGAGAAATCAAAACATAAACAGCGAAAAACAAAAACTTTTGCACCTTCGGCTGGCAGTCGTCCGTTGCCATAGGTGTCTGGCGACAAAGAACAGTGCAACTGACAAATACGAAGTCGAATTGCTCGTCTTTCGGCAGAGTTCGTTTGCTTGTGTTTATATCATGTTAGAATTGTCAGTTATGTCGTTTTTTCTTTGTTTTGTAACGACGGCAACTATGTTAGCTTGTTTTTGTTTTCCTTTTTTGATGTTTTGGCCTGCCTGCCTGCCGCTGTGTAGGTCAAATTGTTGTTGTGGCACTGCAGTGGCTTAAAGGTGGATTCTCCTCCATGCCGTTTGTTTTTGTTGTTGTGGTTATGGAAGTAGGGAGTTTGAGAGCTTTCACAACTTGAAGTTGGCCTTGTGCTCTGCCATTATTGAATGTGCCGAAGTATTCTTGTTGTTGCTTTTTCATATTTCATTCACAAATTCTCTAATTCTGCGTGGTTCTCCGAAACAACCCCGGGTGGTTTGGCTTTTTGTTTACAAAAAAAAAAAAAAAAAAAAAAATAAGAGCAGTACGAAAAGGGGGTCAAACTCTCCCCTTCTGACATTAGCTATGACAAAAATAAACTTCCAAATTAATTTACCACCACCGATCCACCGAATTTTGTTATTCGTCGTTATATTGCCCTTCGTTTTTTTAGATTCGCAGCAACGTCATAGACCTACGCAATATTTTATTATCCTAGAGCGGAATCAGAGAATGCTATTTTATTACACGATTGTGCCTCAACAATTCCATTTAAGTCCCTTTTGTTTTGTTCATTTTTATTTCGAATATCCTGTTTTACCAAAGAAAAAAAAATACAATATTTACATATTCTTTGAAAGCATTTGTCCGACGGTGAGTTTTGGTGGCATGAAGCACGACTGCGGAACACTCATGCGCTTAGCTGCCTTTGTTTTCTCTTATTTTTGTTATGAGATGCCCTACTCTGGGTTTATTGGACTAAATTATTTTGAAAACCTACAATGAAAATGGTATATCTGATAAATACTTTTCATACCCTCCACCATAGTATGGATGGTATATTAAGTTATAAATTCTATGTTGATTTAGCGATGTCCCTCTGTCTGTCCGTCTGTGGAAATCACTCTGGCTTCCGAACAAATAAAGTAGGTTAATAAAATTTTACTCAAATGTATATTATGTCTGCAGGACATTTGGTATTGAAAATGGGCCATGTAGTTCCAAGTTTTGGAATATCCCCCATATAACGGTACCTCCCGATATTCGGTATTTTGATGATTTTAGCGAAAATATTCGCTTGAATTGTTTTAAATTTGGTATTTGAAGTTCGTAATGAATACTACAGCCTATGACAAAAAATTGCCCCTGCTGGTCAACGCCTTCGTATAGCCCCCATATAACGGAATTTTCCGATATTCGGTATTTTTATGATTTTAGCGACATTATTCATCGGAATTATTTCAAATTTGTTATTTTAAGTTCGTAATGACATAGCACCTTGACTAAATAGATAGTGACTAAATGTGTGCATTTTTCGAGTATATTTTATAAGACTCCATCCATAAGGACTGTAATAATAACATAATGACTAGTAGAAACAGTCTCATGTCATTGCATATTGGTTTCATTTTATTTCAGTTTTTTTAGAAAAAGTTCCATACCACTTCATACCACTTATCATCCAAAACATAATTTTTAATTATAATTTACATTATTTTTTATTTAAAAATTATAATTTTTGTTTTTATTTACTCATTTTTATTTTATTTTTCATTTCAGAATATTCATGTAAGTTCATATATTGATTTTATTCTTAATAAATCCAGAGATTGATGTTGCTGCATTCAGATTTCCTGGAATCCTTACATTTTATGTATATAGTGTCTACCGCAATATTGCAGATATCAATACGAGGACTATTAATATTAACACTCAAGTCAAGTTATTAGCACTCAAGTCACCAAAATTTAAAACAATGACATCAAAGACGAAAATATTCTTTAACAAATTTCAGTGTAAGTCGCCAAAGAAAAAGAAAACCGATTTCAATAATAAATCAAGAAAATATTTGCATGGAAAATATTTCCTAATTTTGGCCAACCGAAGGGGCACATTTTCAGCTGACCTCTTTGGCTAGTAAACACGATCATTTTGTTTGTTTACAAATTGCTGGACAACGAATGTTTTCTCATCGGAGAAAACCAAATTAGGCAGTTCACCACTTTAGGCCAAGCGAAGCAACTGTTTAGCTCTTTTGAGTCTATTTTCTTTCTGTTGCGGTGTAAGTTCTTGCACTTTTTCAAATTTCAATGGCCTTACCCCGATCTCATTTTTCAATATTTGCCGAATGGAATATTGCGTTATGTTCAGTTCACGAGCCATTTTTCGGCCACTGCGACGCGGGTTTTGATCAAGTCGCTTCTTTACCTTTCGAACCATTTCTACTGATGTTGCTGTTTTCTTCCGTCCACTTCCTTGATGTCGGGCTACGCTACCAGTATCACTGTAACGAGCGATAGTACGAGACACAAAAGATTTATTCACATTTAAATGCTGAAGTGCTCTAACGATAGCCTCTTGTGGTTTTCCAGCCAATTATAAAGAAATCACACTATCACGCTTGAATTCCATCACGAATAACTTTTTCTGGAAAATTCTCACCAAAATGCTTTTGTACGCTTGTAACAATATAATGAGCTGTTACTGGAATAATTTTAACAGCTGTCGAACAAGTTGCTTAGAAATGACAGCAGTCTGAAGTTGGTTGTAGTTTTTTCATCTCACCCTTTTATGTAAAAAATATCCTTGCATAGAACTTTCAATGTAGGTCTAAGTTTTGATATAGTCCCCATATAACTTTACCTCCAAATATGCGGCATTTTGATTATTTGTGTCACATTTAAGTTTCTAATGGGTACTACATCTTGTGACGGAATCAGTCGCTATACCTTATTTATTTATGGAAAACTTCAAACCGCAACTCACATGGCTTTAGAGAAATATCAGTTATACTTATGACACTTTATTCTCCTGTGGTTTTAAAGCATTTTAAAATAACTTACAGCCTGTTCCACGATGTCGAAAGAACACGTTCGCACAACTTTTACACGACAAACAGCTGATTTCCGTTCCACTAAAATCCATCAGAACGAAAATTTGCACGAAAATCAATGCGAACGAAAACGTAAGCGTTTCAGTGTAATTTTGCGTTCCACTATCTTTTTTCTTTCGTACGCATGCGAACACAAATGTCAAAATCAGTCACTTGTGTGTTTGCTGTCGAATGATAAAAATTAAGGAAAATTGTTTTAACATAAACATTCCTTGATTGAAAATGGAAAGAAAAATGTAAGTAAAAATAATAAATGCAATTTAATCTGTGAACAACAAATATATATTTTTTTATTTTCTCAATTCCAGCACGAAAAAACTACACAGCTGCGGGCACTAGTTGAGTATATGGGGGAGAATCCTAAGTTCGCCAGAGGAGTGCCAATTTTTGGAAGCAGCAGGCAATCCCATGAAGACCACTGGAAGACACAAACCTAGAAAAAATCATTTTTTTATTATTTCAAAAATGTAAAAATACAATCATACTTACTGGTTGTTAGGTACTTCAAATAAATTCGAAGCATCTCTTAAATGCCTCCGTGGCACAATTTGAACCTCCTCATCATCATCCATAAAAAATAGGGCTACAGAAATATTCATTTTTTTTCTTTTTTAAGAACACAAATAATCTGAAAAAAAATTATGTAACACCACGAAATATTGGTTTCCCACATAGGAAAGTATATATGGATCATCCTAGCTCGCCGAGCTGAGTCGATCTAGCTATGTATGTCCGTCCGTCCGTCTGTCCGTCTGTCCGTCTGTCCATGTTAATTTGTAATCACTCTACAGGTCGCAATTATGGCCCGATCTTCACGAAATTTGGAATGGAGGTCGGGGTTGGGCCAGAATAGAACCCTATTTCTTTTTGAGATGATCGCCAAATGTTTAGGGTTTGAAATGGACCAAATACTGAAAAAATGTCGGATTTTGCAGTAGCTGTACAGGTCGCAATTATAGACCAATCGACGGAATTTCGCATGTAGCTAGAGTTTAGGACGGGGAAGAAGCCTACCAATTTGGGTGGTCATCGGATAATATTTAGCGGGTAAAATAGACCATATATTTTGTGTTGAAAAAATTCAAAATTTTTCATAAAACCGCGAATATTTTAAATCCCGGCGAAATCACAAAGCCATGACAAGGTTACTTCTGACCTTTACATTGATGTTAACATCCAACAAATCGGATATATAGCAAAATATGTGCGATATATATGTCTATCAAAGAAGATATGCTTGAAAGATCTCTTATATGTCGAGAACGGCTGAACTGATTTCGACAGTTCTCATTAATTCAGAATGGCCTCTTTGCAGGAAAGAAAAAACGTCTAAAAAAAATCGCATAAAAATATCTCTCTAAAGATGAAAATGTTGATTTTGTAAAATTTTCTCATATTTTTTCAATTTTGTCATATTTTTGGCATATTTTCATTTTGAATTAAACATTTGGTAATATTTCTACAGCTAACAAAACTAAGTAGTTTTGACATCAGAATATCATATACAGATCGCATTTATGGCCCGATCCTTACGAAATTTTGCATGGGGATAAGATGAGGGTCAGAATAGAAGCCTACTCTTTTTGGAGATGATCGCCATATATTTAGGGGTTGAAATGGACCAAAAAACTGCAAAATTGTCGGCAGGTCGTAATTATCGCCCGATCCTCAAGCACATTTGAAAGGGGGTTACCGGACATTGCAAAAGCCAAGCAGTTTTGGATGGCCATCCAAAAATATTCAATGTGGGAAATAGTTTGCCAACTTTTGTAGACAAAATACGAAAATGTCCATTCCAGAGACTTTTTCGAGAATTCACAAATACAGGAAAGACGCACTTCTGACTATTTCGTTTACGAATATAGTCAAATGTCTGTATCTCATATAGATGCGTTTCAGTCAAAAACCAATAATAAATGTTAATCTTTTGCCACTTCTAAGAAATTATAGGTCTTTGGGAAATATTGGTTCCAGATCTAGGAAGACCATTTAAGTGCAACATCTACCAATAAATTGCAAATGAGCAAATTAGTTTAAGTTGCTTTTATTCGAAAATTAGAGAACGAAACCTGATGGTTTTCTTTTATAATTTGTCACAATATCTTGTGGAATTCTTTCGAGTATCTCGCCTATATAAACTGTATCGTTTACTATAGTGTTGTAGGGTATTCAACGGTCGGCCCCGCTCGACTGTAGCCTTTGCTTACTTGTTTTTATTACTTTTATTTAAATTTTTCTATATCTCATCAAGTCTGCGAGCAAACGAGGTCAACCATAGGGGATTGGCAAATAAGCCTAGCATTCACTGAGGAGTTCCAAGTATAGTATAATTTCGTGTATCGTTGCATACTTTTAGGCAAAACTGAAAGTCGATTACGAAAAGCTGATTTTGTGATGTTTACAATAAGTGAACGTCGATTTAAAGCTGTAGAATTTTCAATGGAAACAAACAAAATCAATCATTCTAAAATCGAATTTTTTACCTTCCAATATGTTGAATTCGACGTTGATTTTTGGTAAAAAAAAAAATTAAAAGAGTAGAAGCCAAAACTTTTTTATCTTTACATACTTTTAGGCACAATCGTAAGTGGATTATGAAAAATCGACGTTGTGATGTGTACGACAAGTGAAAGTCGTTTTTAACATGTAGATTTTTTAATGAAAAAAAAAAAAAAAATAATAATAATAATAATAAATATTTAAAAAACCAGTCCAAGCCGATTTAGATTTATTATCAATAACCCTTAGTGAACTTTACATGTTAATCGCTCCATACTTTTAGGTAATATTTAAAGTCAGTTACGAAATGTCGATTATGTGATTTTAATTGCAAGCTAAGTACGATTTTGACTTGTAGACTTTTTTGTATCTAAATTCGATTCTTTAAAAGTCGATTTATATATTTTCTCTCTAAAAATATTGGCAATAGAACGGACCTAAGGAACCCAATTTTCCCGAACTTTTAGAAGAAAGCTCCATGAACTTTGTTATACTCCAATTTAAGGTATTGACCCAGTCGACCATTGCCAATAGCCATTCGTTGCATTACTTGTTGTTGTATGTTTCGTTGATTTGCCATCATCGTTGTTGCCGTTGTTGTTGCCAATAGTAGCCACTATTGCTGCTCCGGCCAGCTGCCGCCACCAAATATATCGTATCGTACGTTGTTATTGTTGTTATGTATGTTGTTATTTCTCATGTTGCTGCTGTTGTTGTTGTTTTCGTTGTTGTTGTTGTTGTTGTACAACACGAGGAGAGTGCCTTCCGTTTCTTTGCTCAACATTACGAGTCAGTTGAGCGTACGTCGTTAGTGGGTTAAAACGTCTTCTAATTTGTATTGTCGACGGGCAACGTTCGCTAAAAAGTAATAGAAAGAAATAAGAAACGGATATTCAACATTATTTTTCAGTGTATTTTTTTTTTCGCTCTGTGTCTGTGGGGCAAGAATAAATTTTGTAAAAAAAATCACAAAAAACAAGAAAATATAATTCAAGAAAACATGTAGAAAATGAAAAATTGAATTTCACGAAAAAAAAATAAATCAAATATTGAAAATTGAAACACCATTTATAAAGTGATTTCAAGTGAGAAAGTAGAAAACCAAATGTTTCAAAAGTTTTATTTTTGAATATATTATAAAAAAGTTCGGGCGAATGCATTCGCCTTGCTAAACGAAACGGAATTTTGTGGGTAAACGTAAGCCAAATCAAATCGTTGGTGTCGTTTGTCGGGTCGGTCATACGTTATTGATTCTATTAATTAAATATATTGGCAAAGAATAATTAACGGAAAGTGATACTGCTCCTTGCAGAGTGTGCGTGCGTGTGTGTATCTAGTGAATATTATGTATGTAAAATAAGATTTAAAAAAGGAAAAATCATTTTTCCAAGCCAAAATGCAAACAACTCAGCCAGCCAAACACCAATGCGCTAGCCTAATTGTGTTAAAGATTCGTGTCTTCGTCTTCGCCGAATTTGATATTTCCTGGGTTTTTGTACCCAATTTCTTGGCAAAAATCATCATCATCACACCATCGCCATCACCATCACCACCAGAAACGACGTCATCATCGCCTTGCTGTTATGGCCCACTATCGTTTACATGATTGCCCAAGTGGACTTTACGTATTGTTGATACAATTTTCCTGTGCCACAGACACAAAGGAAAACCCCTTTGGCACAGGATTGACAAGTAACACCCCAACAACAGCCATTTTTTCCAAAGGTGTCAATAGTGGAAAAATGGATGATTAATTCGTCATCATATCAACGTCATCTTATTTTCTGCCAATACAAAAATAAAGAGAAAACAAAAAAACAATAATATTTATATAAAGTAAACAGACAGCGTGTAACGCAACGCACGCCATCTATCCCCGTACACATATGTATATGTGTCCGTACTATGTTCTTGTGTATGTATGTGTGTAATCTCTTCACATGTAGCATATTTGTGATGGGTTTGTTGATACCCTGTCGTTTCGCATCGAAAACAAAAATATCACCACTGATCCAATATAAATAATTATAATAACAATAATAAAATAATCGAAACAATAGCAACAACTCTGTTTTTACAGTAGTGGGCAAAAGTATGGTGTTGTGTGTTGCAAGTTTATGTTAGTGGAAATAATGATTTTTTAAGAATTTCGTTCAAAACAGCACGAATTGTGAAAGATGATCTACAAATTTAAGACACACGTGTCAGTGTCTTTATGTATGTACCTACATTGGGAGGTAACCTAAATTTTAGGTACCAAAATTAAAATGACTTGACTTGAACAGTAAAGGATTCATTTTTCACAATGGATTAAATTACACTGTACAACATAACAAATATTCTCGAAAAAAATCACTGGATTATGAAAGTAGAGCTAAAAATATAAGACTCGAGTATAGGCGTTTTGAAAGTTTACAGGCCGAATTAACCTAAAGAGAGCGACAAAGATTCCCCTCTTCTTCATTTTTTGAAATTAACGGATAAAAATTCCTTTCAATATGTCCTTTTTAGTGTCGTGGACAATATTACTGATAACAATATGTGGATGTGGACCCTCAAGCGAGTCACCAAAGGCGTCTTTTTAGTATATACCCTCGGTCATAAGGCTACTGAGGTTATATACCATTTTTATACGGCATAAACGTGCCTCATCGAAAAAACGGTTTTAGACTCTAGGTCTCTTTCAACCAAAGCTGTTTCAGGACATTTGGAGTCGATCTAGCGATGTCCATCCATCCATCCGTCTGACTGGTTCGCACGATAACTCTCGATGGGAGTATCCGATTTGGTGCACACTTGGTACATCCTAGTATTATTATCATACTTAGATCGAGTTCGGTCCACTCCTTTTGGTACCTCCCCCACAAAAAGTCGAAAGTTGGCCTATATTGATCTATTCGTATCTGACCTAAGACTGATATAAATATTACAACGTTACAGATTTGGACTATATCGACTACTTCCTATACTTTATATGTGATATGTGCAAAATTTTGGAAAATGTGGAAATATACGTGAGGTATAGTCCGTAG